CTTTATATTTTATAAATTTATATAGATTTATAATTTGTATAAACCTACAATTTATATAGACCTACGATTTATATTCTTGTATATATAAAATCTATCATATGATCTCTAAGATCAGATTATATATTCAAACTTGTTAAGGATAAAGAGATCATATAAGACGATTATTATACAAATTTGTATACAAATTACCTTGTTTTTCAATGAGGCCTAAGCTTATATAGACAGGTTAACTGTTACCTTGTAACAAGTACTTGAATATAATAAAGTTATATTTGATATTTTTAATCTATTTAGTTTTTAATGATTAAAGAATGATGATTCTTGAACTATAATGATATTGTGAGAAAGTTAAAATTATAGGCCAAATACATAAAGGTTTTAACTAGTCAATCATATGACCTTCTATAATTAAATATAAAAGAAAAGCCTTTTATCTTTTCTTTTTACAATAATTAACCTTTTATATATATATATTTGAACCCATATAGTATCAACCTTAAAATTATTGTGAATTTTGTTTTACCTATAAGTAATATATTACAATGTAATCTAATTCAACTTTCTCTTTCAATTCCCTCCTTACAGTGTGCTATCGGGACACATATATTTCGACCTACCACTTTTACAATATAAATTCAATAATATTTAAAAACAAAAATTAAACAATTTTAAAATAAAGTTTGTAAAATGAAAAGTTTATAAAAGAAAGAACAAAGTTTAAAAAATTAAAATATAAAATAAAAAAATAAAGAAGATAACAAAGAAAAAACTAAATTAAATACTTTTTAATTACAAATTTAATATAATTATAATTTATATTTTATTACAAGTTATCTTTTAGAATACCTTCATTTTCTAAAGAGATATTCAAAAAGAAGAGATAGAATAAATGAGAGCAGATTGGTATAAAGTTTGAGATTTAGAGTTTGAGAATTTGAAATGGGAATTAAAAAGAATGTCATCGCACAATGTCTGTAAAACAACAAGAGTCTAAGCTTGTTAAATTTCTAACGGCCTGAGAATAAGTGTTTAAACGAGTGTATTGAAAACAAAGTGCAAATCATTAATATCTAATTACTTATAAATATATATTTATTTTTGTTATAAATATAATATAAATTATTCTCTCTATATATTTTCTTTTCATTAATATTAAAATTGTTTAGTTTTATATAATATTATTTAATATTATTTAATTTCATTAGATTATTAATATTATAATATTTATTCAAACAATAAGATTTTAAAAACTTTTTGTTTTTTGTATGATTATTTTCTTCTTTATTCATTATTTATAAAATCGATTATTAATAAAAATAGAAGTTTCAATTAATTCAAAAAAGTTAAATAATTTTGAAGTTTTTGTTAATTTATTCTTAATAATATCTTTCAATTCTTTATAGAATTATAATTTTAAATAATTATTATTTTATATAATTATCACAAATCACTTATATTTAAGATTATAATAGTATTATAAATATTAATGATTTAACTATTGATTACAAAGAGATTCCTTATCGTTACAATTAGAAATCTAAGAATTTAGAAATCCTAGAATTAATATTCTAAACAATTATAATATAATAAAACAAATATCTTAACTTTATAAAATAGACTAGGATAATGATTATTCTAGAATATTTATTCTAGAATAATCATACTAGGATATCAACTATTTTAAAGAGGGGATTATCCTAAGACAATTTTAATAAAACAAAATTGTTTCCAAAATAAAGAATCATATAATGAAACCTTTAAAAGCAAGGGCTCTTTTAGACTTCTTAGAGTTTTCAAAAATATAAATTCTTCAAAGCTCTCAAAAGAGATTAATATATAATCAGAATAATTTCATAGTTTAGAAACTTTATACTCAACTTAGTTATCAATTAATTTATTTATATTCTATTTGATCTAGTAACGAATTTATTTTCAAATAAATAATCAATGATTAATAATCTTAATCTACAACTATCAATCTTACAAAACCTTATACAGCCGCTGTCTCGACCAGATCGTTATATTAATATATCTAATATATTATTGAAACTTCATAATATAAATTATTATAATAGTTTTTCAATTATATAATCGGAATCTATTTCCTCAAATACTCTATCGAATCCTTATTAAAATAATTTGTAATTGAAAAAAAGATATTGTATCTTGAATTTCATTTTTTTATTTAATTGATTATCAATTATTTTAATTATTGAATCATTAAAAAATGATTCAATTCAATTGAATATAATTCTTTAAAAAAAGAAGATTAATTACAAGATTTTTTGTATAAGAATCATAAAGAATTATTTATTAAAAATATAAAAAAAATTAATTTATATAATAAAAGCTTGATATTTATTAAAATTTTTATAAAACAAATTAAAAGTAAATATTTAAATCATTCATTTGTATTTTATTGTTACAACGATTTGAATAAAAGCTTTAATAGAATTGAAGAAAAATAATTCAATAAACTATTAATTAGAAATCATTTTATTGTATATAATTTAATTGTAATAATATTCTAAAGATAACGATCTGATTAAAATAATGATTATCTAAAGTTTGTATAATTGGTAATTATAGATTAAGATTATTAATTATTAATTATTTATTTGAAAATGAATTCGTTATTAAATCAAATAGAATATAAATAAATTAATTGATAATTAAATTAAATATAAAATTTCTAAATTATAAAACTGTTTTGATTTATATATTAATTCTTTTTGAAAGCTTCAAAAAGCTTACACTTTTAAAAGTTTCAAAGAGTTTAAGAAAATCTATATTTTTAGAAGTTTCATTATATGATCTTCATTTTGGTAAGCTAATTTTAATAATTTTGTTTTATTAGAATTACTTTAGAATAATCTCTTTTTTAGGATAATTGATATTCTAATATAATTATTATTTTAGTTTATTTTGTAGAGTTAGAATATTTGTTTTATTATATTACAATTATTTAGAATATTTATTTTAGACTTTCTAGATTTTTAATTATAGTGATAAGGAACCCTTTTATAATCGATAGTTAAATCACTGATTCTTATAATACTATTATAATCTGAATGTAAGTGATTCGTGATAATAAATTCTGATCAAGTTTGTTATTTTATTATATATATATATGTATATATTAATAATTATAAACCGAGAAATCTTTTATTTAAACCTAATAATAATAATCAATATATAATCAGGAATTTTAATTAATATATTATTTTAAATAAGAAGTATTAATTATCATTTCGAGAATCATTCAGAGAATGAAGTTTGAAGTGGTGATTTATATATAAAAGTACACTTTCTTATATTTATTAGATTTTAGTCTTATCAGGATCGGGGAGGTAGTTAGAGCTATTGTTTTTTTACTTTTTCTAATGTTATTAGCCACGAGGGTTTCAGGTAATGAGGGCGTTGAAGCTTGTATTATTCCCAAAAAGTATGATTATAATATCAATACCTTGACTTGACAAAAAATTATCGTCAAGCAAAGCTTCAATTCTGTAGCAGTAGACGTCGTTATGATTTCCCTCAATTAAGAGGCGAATCTAGTTAGTGTTAAGTTCTAGTCTGCTAACTAGTTGCTGAGCTTGATCTGGTTTTTATTTCAGACTTCGTGCGAATTTACTCTTAGCTTCTATCGAAGATAATTATCTGGCCCTCAGATTGCGTATCTAAACTAGTCTCTAAAATAAAATGATGTTGATATAAGTTTCACTATCATTATAGATTTCTATAAGTGTTCTGATAGATATTTATATAATCTTTTTAGATTTTTATTTTATTTTTATATTTTAATTAGTTTGCATCAATATATAATCCTTTTTTAAGAATTAATAAGACAGCTTTAATTATTGGTTACACTCCAGGCTTTAATATGTTATCACTTTAAGTAATTGAATATAGAATATAATGTTCTTTGCTCTCGAATTCCTATTATTACACTAGTCAACCACGACTTTACAAGGTAAAACAATATATAACCATTCCAATACATGTTTCTGTCCTGGAAGGCCTCGCCACTCCTCAAGTCTTAACTTATTCCTTCTAATTCTAACATCTAAAATCAAACAAAGAGAAAAGCTGGCCGAGGACCTAGTAGAGGGGTTTTTCAATACTCAAATTAATAATTAATTACTATCAATATACAGAATTAATTTATCTAATCGTTATAATAAGTATTCTCTATTATATCTTTTTAAATGAAAATAAAATCTTAATAATTAATATTCACTATTTGAATTGGTTTATATAGATAAAAAGATTATAATTAATATATATATATATATAAATACAGCTGATAAAGATATTATATCATTTATTTTTTATATTAAAAAATAATATTTTGAAATTATAAATTTAAAAATAAATCTTTATTATTATTTAATATTAAAAAATTGAAAGAATTTTTTTTTAAATTCATTCTTAATATAGTTTTTGTATATATTTTTATATAATTTGAAATCCTAGAAAACTAAAATAATATTAATAATTAAAGTTTTTGTTTAAAAATAAAAATAAAACAGAATTATGTTTATTAAAATATTATTATAGAAAACAGTATTTTATTTTTTTCAGACGATTTTTATATTATTAATTTAGAATCTAATTGAATTAGATTTTATATCAATTATACATTATTTATTCTAGTATATATATATTCAATAAGATTGAAGACAAGTTATTCAATTCAATTTATTATATCAATTATATATTTTTTTTTTATAATCTTCAAAGTATTTTATAATTATCTTATTTTATGATAAATATAAAATGTTTTATATTAATAGATATCTTATACTTATATATCTTTTTAATAATATATAACTCATTATTATCTATATGAATATCTTGAAAACATTTAATTAATATTATTATATAAATAAGTATATCAAAATAAAAAATACTATTACAAATACTGACTCGTACCCGAATTGAAGATTGATCTAGGACCTAAGAAATCACCCTCCTCGTCACTTTTGCAATTAGGATACTGGTAATTACATTTAATAAAGGGCTGATATTGAATTCAAACTTATTGCTTGCCTTATCCGATATTTGATACGAAGAAATACTGGCATTCATTCATATGATCATATTCGACAATGACCAGTCGTGCTACTTTTAATATTTCTCCTTTCATAATCCATGTACTTTTTCCAAACGATCAATCATCTCGCCCACACTCGCCGCGTCTCTTTTTACCTGAGCGATTCTTCGTCACTATTCCTACGTGCTCTATCACCACTGCTCCCCTCTATACTAAAACTCTCTACTTTAACCTCAAACTTTCTCAATATCCCCGCTTGTTTATCTATCTCATCAATTCGGTTATTACTCAACGCGAAAACACTCAACGAATGGTCTTCCCTCAATTTTAGAATTCTTCTTTTTCCAGATTTGACATTTGCTTCGTGATGAGTTCTTTCATGATGAGGTATTTCATGATGATGGTGATGATCATCAGATAGTATCTGTGAGGAGAATAGACCGGGAAAATGTTGGCGGAAGAAGGGGCGAAGGACAACGAGTGTGTTGCAGAAGATACCGATGTTTATATCTACGCATCTAGAATGATAGACGGTTAGTTGTTTTGGAATCATATGAGACTTTCGATGTAGAAGAAGGCTTGAAAGAGAAGGAACACGAACGACCATATTGCTGCTTTGCCCTGTATGTATAGAACATCTGGATTATTTTGTAGTGCCATAATGTATGTTATGCGAACGATGCAGATGATTATCACACTGTCATTTAATACGTCAGCAAATCTTCCAAAAAGATGCTTAGCTGCAATGACCTCTAGCAAGATTCAGTGGCTCAAGGAATGACTCACAAAATACCAGTCCCAAAGATAGATCCAACCGCTAATTTCTGCCTTAAAGGCAATTTCAAAAGATACAGCATATATAATGGAAGTATAAGAATAGCAGAATCAGTAAGTATATTGAAAATTGCTTGCCAAAGTCCACATTTATTCAGGCATTGTCCATTTTGAGGGTTGGTGGGGACGCAAGGAATTGCAATAATGAGTGATATGGTGAGAGTGTAGGTTATGATGATGAAGGCAACTATGTAACAACTTAGACGGAAGTAGCGGTTTGGATTCACACGATGGAGGCTAGATACTGAATTAGCTCTGTTAATGCTTGAGTTTGAGGAGTTTAGAACCGGGTGACGGACAGGATGAGGATGGAAAGTTTAGTGAAAGCTGGGGCCGAAGCGTAGGTGGCTACCATAGGGCTTAATTGCTAGTTCTATAAGTTTGAGGATTTTGTAGTTATCGACAAGTCTTGACTAACCGTAAGATATCCTGCCATTTGTTGAGCAGTGACTTCCCATAGATGTCTACCAAATCCATATCTCATACCTCCAAATCATTCAGTATTAGCCCTCCATCTTCAGTTAATGACGTTGACCCCACTCACAATTGATACTAATGGCAAAATATGCAATTGAGCACATCTACTAAAACTCAGCTTCATCGGATTTTATAAATAGAGAGCGAATGTCTTACGAAAGAAAGAATAATCGCAACTATAAGTCCCAATTAGCATCTGTACCAAATAAACGTCCGAACTTGATGGGAAACGTACCATCATCTAAACCAAAAGATCTCATTATACTAATTCTTGTATACAATCGAATACCAAGAGTACTACTCGCAAGAGCAAGAGTAATAGTATATGCAAGAATAAAATTTACCTGGGTTTCTGACAAAGCCCCAGAGTTGAAATTTGGTGTCACACCACTAGGAGGTGGAAGAAGGCCGGTAGACATATTTGCGCTGCTCCCTTAATTCTAATACAGAGAGATGCTAGAGCTCTATGGACGGAATCGGGAGAAGGATTCATTTTTGTATGTATGTCGGGACAAAAAGAAATTTTTATACGATGCTGCTCCAAGGCAAGATTTATACCGGAATCATGATCATCATTATCCATTCCGAATTCATAGAGAGAAGGAAATGGTCCCGGCAAACGCCATGGTATTCTAACCATGGTTTAAAGTATTTGATGGGTTCAAAACCAGTGACTGTTATCCCCGTATGCAGTTGATGGCTCTTGTGTCGAGAATCTTGCATGGGTTGCAACCGCAATAGTATTTATGATTGGCCCAACTGCGGTGCCCCTTTGGATTTGATAATATTCTCCTATGTGGTTCCGGGATACGCTATCAATTAATGGAAGGAGCTGAAAATAAAAGAGCAGGCATGGTAGATACCACAGCGCTCAGTGCTGCAACGAAGAAACGGAAGACAGGCACATGCCGTTAGATGGATAAGCTCGTTTCGACGACAATGCATTGATACCAGATCAGCCCGCAAAAACAAAATGAAATTGACTAAATCTTAGGATTATGACAGAAAAACGATCCAGCCCCAGCTTATTGTGCGGCAAGAGGGAGCGTCTGGGGATTGAAATGGCTGTGGAACGCTAGACCCTTAAGCAACATCCGATATTCCGAGATTCCAGTATTCAAAAATAATCCCTGTCAGAGTCGAGAACTTGACACTTTCTTTTTATTTTTTTCTTATTATTGATAATCCATAAATCTCTTTTTGACTTTTAACTATTAAAACTATAAATGTTTTAATTTTAATCGAGTTATTTATTAAAAGATTAAATTTTAAAGATATTTTATTTATAAATATTTGATATTAATATATATATATATATATATGTAATTGATATTTATATTTACTTAAATATTTACTATAAATGATTTAAGTATTAATGAGAGACTTGGCGTTCTATAGTCATTTCAGACGCTCTTAAAAATAAACAGTCTCGATGTCTCTCCACTCGGGTGAGAGCCACATCCTTCTCCACCTTCCTTTTTTTAAGCTGTAAAGTTTGTGGTCCCGGTTATTTCTGTTCTAAATTTTCACATGTTCGTCTATTCGTCTTACGTTGACAAAAAGTTCACGGTTTGGTAACGATGACCTCCATCAATATTGATAATGTCAACCTTGTATATCATCGCTGCCGCAGCAGGCGTATTCCTCCACAATATTGTAAGGAAAAAGGAATTTGATCGCCATCCCTTTTCGATTATTTTTGCAGTCATAGCAGTTTATATTACACTTTCGATACTACTCCAGTATAAAAGCAACAATGAAAACCTCACAATTAGACAAGGTCAAAAACTCGCATTTAAGCTTGTTTCGACGGTGGTAGTGTCGCTATGGACAAATATACTTGTATATCGAGCATTTTTTCATCCCCTGAGACATTTTCCCGGTCCATTTGGTGCTAGACTTTCCAAGTTTTGGAGTTTGGGAAAAGTTATACAATCAAAAGTTAGGTGGTACCAGGTACTTGGTGATTTGAAAGAGGAGTATGGGGATTATGTTAGGACAGGTATGAAATGCATTGTGCATGTCCAGGGAAACTAATTTGACTACGAATTGAAGCTGACATATTTGCAAGGACCTCGTGAACTTATGATATTTGATCCTGCAGCCATTAATTTAATTCTTGGCTCTTCAGCCAAATTACAAAAGGGTCCATTTTATGGCGCGACGACGCCACAATCGTTACATACGACGAGAGATACTGATTTCCATAGGAAAAGAAGAAAGGTTTGGGATATTGCTTTTAAACAGTGTATTTGCTTTTCTTGTCCCGTTTGTCTCGGAAAAGCATCAACTAACAATGACATTTTAGCCCTCACCGACTACGGACCCCGCATCGAAGAATTCACAACATCGTTTCTTTCCCGTCTTTCTGAAAGTGTAGCTACTCCACTAGTCATCAATGATTTATGTATTTATTACAGTTATGATGTCATAAGTGCATTGGGATTCGGTATTTTCACGCGGTTTTTAGATGGAAAGCAAACAGCCGGAGTCAAGAATATTTTAGATAATATCCAAAGAGGCATGATCGCTATAGGACTTCTAGTCCATGTTCCATGGGTTTTGACGATTCTTGAGACGTTGAGTGTTCTCGGGGGCCCAATGAAAGAGTTTAACGACTGGTCGGCATGTCAAGTAGAAGCGAGAAGACATGTTTGTATTTTAGATGCGATCTGTCAAATTTCGGTGCTAATGCTCCCACAGATGCAAAATCCAAAACCAGACATCATGGGTCATCTTATTGAACACACTGAAAATACACCCTCTGGCCGCGCTCTTCTAAATGCCGACTCCCGCGTAATTATAGGAGCAGGAAGTGATACTACCGCTTCAACACTTTCGGTCCTCTTCATTCTTCTTGCCAATTATCCACAATACCAAGCTCAGCTTCTCGAAGAACTGACATCGATATTCAAGGACGAGACATATAGTAATTTAAGGACCTCGCCATTGCTTGATGGTATCATTCAAGAAGCCCTAAGACTGTATCCGTCTGTTACCTTTACATCTCAAAGGGTCATACCTAAGAATGGGATGAGTATTGGGACAGTATATATACCTGGTGATACCGTTGTTAGTATTGCAACCTGGCAAATACATCGCGGTAAGTTTTCTTCTTTTTGTCTCCTGCACTTTTCCCCTTTCACACTAATCCACTAACCCTGAAAGTCTAGACCCTCGAAATTTCAAGGATCCAAAACAATTTATTCCTGAGCGCTGGACGACTCGTCCGGAGCTCGTTCTTAACAGATCTGCCTACCTGCCATTTTCAATGGGTGTATATAGTTGTATTGGGAAAGGGCTCGCGATGATGGAACTACGTTCCGTGATTGCGAGAACGATTTTTGAGTATGAAGTGCTGTTTCCGGAGAATACGAAGTTCAATGAGAAGACGTTCTTTAAAGGGATTAAAGATCATTTCACAAGCGGGGTGCCGAACTGTGAGTTGGTATTTAAGAGGAGGTGACTTATGATTGAGTGGCGAAAGAATGGATAAGCAGTGAAAGGGAAAATGGTGAGATGAGCAGGGGGACGGAGTATAGTTTTGTATATTTTAGGATGATATACCGCGATCATCAAAAACTTTCGTAAGATCACATACTGGTGACAGTAAATACCAGAGGAAAATCGTCGCAATTAGGTATTATTATGAGAGCAATATTCTAGATGATAACGATGATCCCGCTATCCTCCTGAGCTCTACTCCATAGAAATTTGTGACTATGTTTCAAGCAAGTAATAAACTATTCTAGTGCTCTATCGAACGTGGTCACACAGGCTTCGTCGTTTACCACTCTCGGATTCTTGGTATATAGAGGAAGTTTAAGAGCCTTGAAAGCTTGCCATATTACTTCCGAACAACATGGTGCTGTGAATCATATCATCCATCATTTGCGGCAAGAAATTTAAATAAATTAGCGCAGGATAAGGAACGGTAAATAAGTCCCCTACCCCACATTCCGACCATTTTTCATACCAAAAATCATAAAAATCGGTCTTTATAACTTTCTTATTTGTGAATATAATTAAATAAAAATTGTATCCTAACTTTATTACTTATATAATAATAAATTCTGAAAATTTCAGATTTTTTATAATTTAATTGATCGAGATATCAAAAGTTGAAATTTGATTTTTAAATTATAAAAAATCTGAAATTTTCAGAATTTATTATTATGTAAATAGTAAATTCAGGATTCAATTTTTATTTAATTATATTTATAAATAAGAAAGTTATTAATAAATAAAAATCATAAATTTTGGTATAAAAAATGATCGGAATGAGGGGGTGGTCGGAATGTGGGGTAGGGGACTTACTCGTCCTTTTTTGAAAGATATTTTAGTATTAATATCACACACTACCCTTTCAGATCTCTTCAAGACCAGAGGAGCATAAAAAACACAACATAGCTAGATACAATACCTGTCTGACCATGAGAAGATAGCAAGCTCACATCACTCACAAATATCAATCTAACAAGCTGTTTGGCTGAAACGAAAGACGTTATTCAAACGTGAGTTCCAGGCAATGGCAATAAAGCGTATTTGCTCTAAGTGAATGGGGTTAGGGACAGAAGCTAAAAATGGCAAAAGAATCAGGTTTCGTTACCTCTTTGTCTTGGATGAAGTGATTTCGATATTTTGAATTTGTGATACAAAATTATGTACTAACTACTACGAGATGTTCTATGTAAAACTATTGAATTCATTAAAAAAAAATTTACCTCCGAAATTTGGTGAATATGAGACTCTTCATAGCATCGAATACTACACAATTGCCAACATACCACTCTCAGGGTATATTCTAAGAACCAACCTTAGATAGAATAGGAATTCTCTGAAAAGTTCATAGAGATTGCCCGCGACTTGAAATTTGATGATTGGAGCGCTTGCACTGAGTTCTGAGGTCAAAGACTTTCCAAGCTTTGTGGTAGTAGGTTGGTTTTTAGGGGATTGTATGTCTTAAATTTGGAGTTCAAAAATTAAACACAAAGGAAATGTTGGTAACTTTCTGATTGTGAGAATTGATGAGTATGATAGTAAAAGAGAACCTCAGATGATAACAAACTATCTTCCGGCAAACTGTACCTTTCAATCTATCTATAAATATGCTCAGCTCTTCATGCTAAGTTTCGGTCGATCCGTGAAAGAACTTTTTTATGATATTCAATCCTTTACTTCCTCAGTCCGTCTGGTTGGGTTTGAAGCATTGTAAAGTTATTATCGTAAAATGCTAGTTTGGCAATTGCGATGGTAGAGATAAGAATGATGATGGTGGAAATCAAAATCGAGTGATAGCGGACTTGATAACATGACAAAAACAAAGCTATAACACTGGGTAGATTCTCGTATGTTGCACGCACCATCTATAGCATTTACAGCTGAGTAGTTCTCATAAATGAATATCGCACTGAACTAGGGCTAGACACCCGTACCCTTACCCGAGGTATTTGAGGTCTATGGGGTACTTACTTTACGCTTGGAGATTTTGTGAAGTATTAATCTTAAAAACCCACGGATACCGGATTACCCAGGGGTATAGATTATGTGATAGTCCAACTGTCGCTATCACAAATTGAGGTTTCCTCCAATTATTCAAGAGTCAGGACTATAGTGCGAAGTAGATGTTTTGAGTTAAACAGTCGAGCTTTAGTCCAAATGAAAGGAAAGCAGTCCATACAGGATAAATAATTTCCTAATAACCTACACTACAATCTAGACGAGCTATAATTTTTGATTGAAGAATAGTGGTATATGATATATATCATTATCAATTCAAAAGTCCAAACAAGAACTAGATCTTTTGATGTTAGATCATCTAATTCGGTCTTTTTATTCAAAATCCCCTATTACTGCAAAAAAAATTGTAGATTAGACGCCCGGATAGAATGCAACAAGACTATTAGATACCATATACTGAAATTCTACTTAAATTGATCAGACTGAAGAATTGGAAAATATGATCAGTGATAGACAACTATCCGGTATAAATTCCACTGAATTACCGTCTGTAAAGATCTAGGATGTATAGCCCTGGTCATTACTCTTAGGATTCTACAATATATTAAAATAAAACTGACAGACAGTGAAAGAATAATTAGTAAAGTTCTTCGAAGAAGCGGTGATGTTGTGTTATCCATTCAAATTCTGAAGAATGAGAATACTTTGGGTGGTGGTATAGTTGGGGGATAGAATGAAACGGGAAGCGATCAGGGCAGTGATCACAAAGAGACGATTAAGTATCAGGAAGTTCTTCACAACATTCGATGTATCAACAAAGATAACTTGTGTTAAGGACTTTCGGTAAAATCTTTTAGGTGTTTTTGATCGGCTCAGACCGACTCCTAAAGAGTTCACTATGCCTTTATAAAACTATTATTAGCCGTAAACAATCAATTAACGACTATATCAACTGACAGCTATTAATAGAGAGCTGAAGCACAATGGGTATATCAGTCTGTGGGTTTATACGAAATAGCCAAAAGAAGCCCTAATGCCCGAAGCGTCTAATCCACAATAATAGTTCTTGTTGGGCTCTATTGACCACTTTCTTTTTTCATCACCAATTATTGTTGCTACAAAAGGATTGAATTGAATTATCTATCCATATGCGGAATTGAAATTGTTATTTTCTTTGTAAATTGTAACCAAAATAAGTTTTCGCAAAGAAATGGGATGCTCAGGAGACGGACAAAGGAATGGAGAAGTACAAAATTTGGACCATTATCAATTTTGAATTTTTATTCTTTAACACAATTTCAGCACATTATTGTCTCTATTGATAAGCCGAATTGAGTCTTTTTACATAAGATCTTACAATCTTGAAAATAACTTAGCAGCCAGAATGTCGGCTAAAAAAACTTCGAAAGCCCCTGCCCCGGCTGCTCCAGCTACTCCTGATGCAGCTACTCCCGGTGCAGCTACTCCTGATGCGACTGCCCCTGTGACTGCTCCTACGCCGGCTGCACCTGCTCCGAAAGGAAAAAAGCAGGCAAACGCCAAGGCTGGAGAAATCGGATGGGAAAATGCGCCCGAAATCCAAAAAGATCCAGCAGCACTCGCTGCAAGAAGAGGACCTATCGATGTCGTATTTAACGAGATAGAAAGATGGAATCTATTACCCGTCCTTGGTTCTGGGATCCATCCAATTTCAACCAGTGCCGCTGGTTTTCTTTGTGGCCTTCATGCTCTAGTATACAGTTACAATGCAGCGCGAGACCTTGCTGCTCCCGAAGGCACACCAGTGCCTTTGGCAGACAGTGTGACCGCGCAGGAGTTGATAGCGTTCAGACGGTCACCAGAGTTTTGGCAAGAAGCGCTGGAGTATTTAACTGCTGGGGGCCAACTCACTTTTGATGACGAATTCGGGATGCCGAATAGTAAAGAGCAAATGTTAGTACAAGTAAAGCAGTTTATACCAGACATAAGCGACAACTATACAATTGCGGATCTCCATTGTCTTCTTGGATTCTTGAATAAGAAATACGGAACGCACTATTCTATAGGGGATGTTACCCACGGCTTCAATGTTAGGTGGGACGTACAAAACAAAGTGTGGGATTTGGCATACAAGGTTCCGACACAGTCCATGGATGGTGGAAGGGGAATTCGGCCAGTGTTGTGGCTTTACAACGACAATTATGAAAGAGAAGATGAGTCGCTCCATCGAAGAGCGCCAGGTAGAAAAGAAGGCATGGGCCATTGGATGGGGTTCTCAAGTTCGTAACTGTTTCAAATTTCCACGCTTCTTCTGCACTCAATTCCGTTTCCCGATTTGAAACCTCAATATTTTTTTTCATACGCAAACACAAAGTTTTACTTTCTAGTCATTGCCTGTTTTCCTTAATAATTTCTGACAAGTAATTGCTAACTCCTTTGCTCTATAACAGCTTTGCACAGGGACATAGATCGACATTTAATTGCTGAAGCAAATTCGTGGTTCGATGACGCCACCGTGGACGCCTATTTGAAAGAAGGGGTTTGGATAGTAACGGAGGACAGCCAAGGATACCAAGCCGACCTTGAAGATCATCAAGATCCCAGGGAGCTTGAGATATCTAAGGGCTGCTTTGTTAGAGAACCTGCGGTAGCTCAGGCAGATCCTGCTCCGCAAGGTTACAAGTGGGTCCAAGCCGGCCCATATGTGAACGGCGCTTCTAACCCAGGAATGATTGGAATTATTCCACTCAGAAAGTTAAAAAAGATTGAGAGGAATGTTCTCAGACATGCTCATGATATCGCGGGCGCAAATGCTGTCAATATTCTCAAAAATAATGCTGTTAAGAAAGATGGCAGAGGCCTATGGCTAGATTTCTATATTCATCGTAGTATCGAAGCAACGTCTAAGACTGGTAGGAAATATGCAGACCCAAAAGACCCGGCAAAGAAGTTTGTGAAAGGCTTCACGTTTGAGGACGGTGAATTTCTCCTAGATACTCACGAGCCCCTCAAACGTCTATGCGCTCGCATGATTAGAATGGATGGCACTTCGGGAAGAGTCAAAGCTCGCAACCTTCAATTTTTGGAAAGGGCATGGGGACTCCCCGAACAGCTTCCCATAGCAGTGAAGGGCAGTCAAAAGAGACCAGACGCCGTATTTACTCCGGGAATGAAAGCCATTTCAGGCATAGTCGATAAAACAGACGCTAGATACCAATATAGAAAAGATATGGATGTACAAGATTTCAAGATAAAGGACCTAAGGCTTCACTGTCAAGCTCGAGGTCTCGACTTTCAGGAATATGGAAGAACTAAAGTCAGTATGTTGGCAGCTCTTGTCAAGTACGATTCAAGTGGAGTCATTAGAAGCAAAGCTGTGGAAACTAAACAGCCCGAGCCCGTTGATGAACCCGGACTACCTCTGAGACGGGTTCTCGCAGATGTTCCAAAGATTGCTGGTCCACCCAAGATGCCTCCATTCCACGCAACCGAAATAGTGTTGGAGATAGGTAAGGGTACTGCTGACGATCCGGCAACATGGGTAAGAGATTATGAAGGACGTTTTGGTAGGATAGATGAGAAGAATCTTGAGCCGATTAAAGGAGCATGGGGTATTGAACTTGATATGTTGAGGTGGAACAAAATGATCGGTGACATGAGGAAGGATGCTGGCTGGGGAAGTAATTCTAAAGCACAAAAGGAAAAAGCTGCAAGTAAGGCACGAGCTCCAAAAGCAAAAGCTGCTGCTTCAAAGGCTGCTGCTCCAAAACCGCCAACTGCAAAGAAAGATAAAAAAAGACCCGCATCTGAATATGCAGGACCTCCAGCCAAAAGGACAAGAGCAAGTGTCGCAGCGGAAGAAAAAGCTTTAAGTGACACAGCGAAGGCAAAAGCTGCAAGTGTCGCACAAAAGAAAGCTCTAAGCCCCATACTAGAAAAAGACGAGATGGAAATGGAGGATTTCGTAGCCGAGGATATATAATCAGATCCTTAAGATGATTCCAATTGCAATGCCGAAACAAACGCTACATCTATCGAGGAACCTTCCGTTGAGATAACTTCTGCGAAGTTATTTTTCGAGTAGTAGGAGCTAGCTCAGAAGAGCTGATATTACTCGTTGGATGGTAGACCTGCAGTGGAGATGGAGTTGGGAGTCGTCTTAATGATATATTCCATGGTGGTTCTTTTTAGAGAACTGAAATGTGGTTGTTCATCTCATTTATGCCTTTTAGTTGCTCTGTTCCTTTTGTTTCTTTTTTCCCTCTGCGTTTGGTTTGATAAATAAATAGAAAAATTCGGGATGGTGGTAAAAAATATATATAACAAGATGGAGATCAGTTGATAGAACTTATAGAGAGCTTTTGTCTTTAAATTTCTTTTCGCAACTCATTTATTTTATTCGGGCCGTACTTTTTTATTGTACAGATAGCAAATTTATAGAGAAACAATGAATATTTTGTTTGTTGTATTGAAAAGATGGACATGAGTGAATAGAACAAAATGATGTGCTGAGAGAAGGAAGAAGTCAAAAAGACACTGCGAAAATACTAGCTCACCCAGCTCGATCATTGTGGAAGAGGAAACTGACCTCCTGTAGTTGACCTACAAAAACTGTACAAAAACACATATCACTATCGCCATCACCCATCACCAGGTACGTCGAGGCGGCTAAACGTAAACAAATTATATTACTATTCAACGGACTAGTACACAACAGTATGACAAACGAATTGAATATGCCATATTCAGTCGTTTGGTTCTCTGTGGGCTGAGACGATTGGTAATTCTCGAAACTTGAGTAAGAAGTGGCGACTGAGGGATTAAGTGAACGTACCTGCCGAGAATCTCAGCACCACCTGGTTGATAAGACCGAAGTGCGTCGCTGAAGTGACTTTTTGATGCCAAGAGTTCTGTAAAGAACTGGATTTTAGTATATGATCAGGTCTAAACTGACCAAGTAGTCCAAAGCAATGATAAATGAGGATCGTGAATAGACATGATAAATGACAAGCTAAGCTGGGGAGCGCTCAATCTCACATACCTCAATGTATTTGTTTCACTTTGACAGGATACAGCACAGCTGCTCAGGATCAATGGTTTCCTCCTGGTGATCTTGAGTTTATCAGCGCAATTGACCCGAGCTGCGTTCTCTGTCCTCTTAGATTTCGTTCGAAAACTGAGGATTGAAAAGGTGTCTAGAACAAATTTGACTATTAGTAATAATTCATTGTGCGTATATCTAGTGAGAGAAAGGATACCGTGGCAATATTCTTTCACCTTGAGAGGATATGTACAGAGCACTCAATACGATGGATGAACCATGGCACCATCTATCAACTAGATGGATGCCATGGCTTTGTGCTATTTCCTCTCCAATATCTTTTGTATAGCTGGTGATTCGAAAGTTTTCAAATAGGCGAAGAAAAGTGTAAAAGAGAAAGAAGCAATTGTAGGAAGCAGAAATTCGCTTCAACTGTAAAGATGAAATACTCAAGTAAAAAAAGCGGCAGAATTCTCAACTTCGCTAGCGTGAAAATCAGGGTAATGTGACACTGTTACCTTAGCTAAGCTTCCTCTACTTACCGGGTGGAGCTGTATTCGTACCTCTTTCCTACTCTACTTTTTCTTTTTCCCCCTCCCTTCCCGCCTTTCCCCTAGGAGACCTATGAATATAATAGTGAATAACTAAACCATCGCAGCATGAAGCCGCCGTCAATAATCTAACCTAATAGTTATATATACCTATCGGGTAATACCATCCTTTCCAAACCATCAAGTACCATCAATCCCATCCCACAGTTAAACATCCCTTTCCATCCCATCCCATCTCATATCTCCACGTGCACCTCCATCACAAAATGCCACTTAAAACCATCAAGCACCAATTCCAAACACTCATCTCATTTCATCACAAAGCAAATTTGAGAATGAGAAGCGGAAGGTTCATCTGTACATAACATTTATATCGTGGAAAAGCCACAACATTAAGCACCATCGATCTTCGCGGCGGATAATTTTCGTATCGTATGCATTCCATCACCCAATCTCATCTCACCTAACTCATCTCATCTCATCTCATCTGAAATCACCATAAACTCACTTCTTCCTACAACTCCCTTCAACAAATTGTAAACCTCAACCTCTTAACTACGAAAATTAATTTCATCCTCTAACCCCCAACCTCATAAACACCACTCCCACTCTTACCCCCCCATCCTCATCCCAATCAAAAAATCTAAAACTCCAACAAACCCAGCAATCTCAAACCTTCCCCATTCTATAGTCTTACAAAAGATTTCAAGTCATCACAACCTAGATCCCCTCCAAACTCTCAAACATCCTACATCTAAGAAACATCCAAGATCCAATACCTGAAAGCGATGGACTAAGCGAGAAATCCCTGAGGAAAAAATCCAGCTCGAAGATCTTCCATTACTTTTCATTCTTTTTCATCTACTAGGTAGGTAGTTTACTTAGCATTTAATATCTTCTATCATAAATAACCTAACATACTTAAAACTCACAAGAAATTCTCTACTTAATTAGAGAATATTTCCACCATGAAGAAAAGAATAATAATTTGTACTTAGTAAAAATTATTTATATTCATTTATTCGCTATTCTATCGTATTGCTTCTGATAAATATTAAATAAACCCGCTGATATCCTCCTCATGCCGGGTAATCCGCTATGAAACCCCGCAAAGATGAAGAAAAGAATACAAATATACAAACATATAGACCATACAAAACAACACCTTCCCATATCAAAACTCTACGCTGAGGCAATACAGCCCTTCCCTCCAATACTCCTCGCGTACAACCCTCATAACCCAACCAACTCTTCAAAAGCGCAACCTTTTGCACCGAAATGAATCCACATCCTCGTCTAGCCACCGTGGAAGCTCGATATCTACAGCTGCTTCCTCATCGTATAAACTACGGACTTTCCGAAAGCCCAAGAGACTTCTAATACCAACAGCCATTGCGCAGGGAAAGGCCGAAAGCCACTGCGTTCCTCTTCTGACAAGAGATACAGGTGGAAGTTCACATTCTTCAGGCCCTTCTTGAATTGGGATACAACTATCAACTATCCTTGTCTCTGGGTTTTCTAACTGAGGTTGCGTATTATAACTTCTACTTTTTTTGACTAAAGTTAAGTAATTAGATCGACTCGTATTAGGACTTTCTTCCTTTGAATGCCTTGATGATGCATAATATTCATCTGGAGATTCTACCTTTGGATATTGAGTAGTATTTACATAAACCTCATTATCTGTTTGCGTTGTACTCGTCGCTTCCAAAATATTGGCATGTCGGATTTCCTGATTATTTTCACTGGTGGCATGAGGATTAGCTTCCACCGTCTGCAGGCGTGAAACTTTGGTCTCCGAAAATACCCTCGTAACCCTCAAGTATTCATCAGAAGTTATTTTTGGAACACCCATTGCCGTTTGGGGAGCGAAATATTTCCAACGGGAAGCTAAACGACGACGCATCTGAGTGGCGAGCCTAGGGTTCCTTCCATTTTTCTTAATCATCATCGCCAAACGCCCGAGACGCACACATCGATGCCTAGTTTGGTGACTGTCCATAAAGTTTCGGAAAACCATTTGATCTTGACCTTTAGTGATCCTAGTTCTATTAAAATCTTCGGCTGTGTCATTGTTACAATCCAAGGTGGGACTTTTCCTCTTCATAGTTGATGGCGCTATCCACATTCCATAGCTACAGATATAACAGATTCCATAGAATTCAAGTGCTCCACATTGGGGACAACTGTTCGTGTCAGGAGATGGATCTTTCCTCTCGGGACGAGGTTTCTTCTTATCTGGTGATGCAGATCTTGACAACTCGGACATTGTTGACCATTCATCAGATACCACCGGCAAGGATTTTCTGAAGCCATAATTATGACATAAACCTAAAAATTCAGGCTTTTCACATATATAACACCCAGGGCACCCTCTCTTTGATATTTTGGTTTTGTTGAACATCTTTGTCATCTTGGGCGCTTGCGTCCGTCTATTAGAAAAATCTTCTTGGACCAGCTTCCAGCCACAAATATCACATTCCTTGTTCCAGAACCAAACTGTGGAGCATTTGAGACATGAATTCCTTCTCTCGAGTGTAGAAGTTGGTCCAGTGCCAACTGGTCGTCTTTCGCAAGATCCATTTGATCTGGATATTTCGGAATGGAAACCTGGGGATGTGCTAGCGCCGGTAGGGTTTTCTTCATTTACACAATCCGGAGAATTTTGGGCGTGAGATACCAAGATAGGTTCTAACTGTGAAGAGACACTGTTGAGTAGCAACTTGGTATCGCGAATGTCTTCATAAGGGTTTGGTTTTGGTTTCCTACCATTCGTCTGGGAAGAAATCGCCGCAGCGTCGACATTGTTAACTTCTGAGTATGAATCGTAACTTGAATTGTTTAGTTGGATGTCGTTCCCATTTGAATGTGCAATAATTCTGTCGAGGTTTCTAGCCAATACCTTCTCTAGATACTTTGGTAACTTTCGGATAGGCATATCTATCGGTTTACTCATGATTTCTTGAAATTCCTCCTCGTTTTCATCAAAAGGCAACACCATATAGTGCATCCATTTTATGCCAAATGACTGAAGTAAAATCATAGTCACCTGTTTGGATTGTTCACCGAAACAGTTGCGGTTGATAAACCTCAGATAGAGCCGAGATATATGATAAATTGGATTCTCTGATTTTCCTGCCTTTCGGTCTCTAGAATTGATTTGTTGAATGAACCCTTTCAACCAGCTGTGGACTCCTATCTTGCATTGGCATTGGTTTGAGAGACCAAAGTACTGTTCTGAATGTTTCGGCCCCATGGTTCGACTCGCTTTGTCATCACCAGAAGACCTTAGGAAACGATTAAGCGTACAGAAAATTTCTGGGTTGAGCTCTGTAGGTGAATAAATGTATTTAGAGGTGAAAAGTTTAAATGAAGCCATGAAGACGTAAGTCTTAGAAGCTTTCACATTTATTTGAAACTGTGATTGGTCGTCGGAGGCATTAAAAGTATTTCTCCCTGCTCTTGGCTCAACAGATAATTCAAGTGTATTGAAATCGATGTATTTCAAAGCCTCGAGCTCAACTGGATCACCTCTGGCTTTCAAATGTATGAGTTTATGAATTCCTGTAATCATGTGCGATACCACCCCTGCCGAAGTTGTCGAGTTGAAATAATGATTAAAATTTTTGAACCTTGATAATGGTCCATCACAGTTCTGATTTATTGACAGTGAATCGGACAGATTCCAAAACTCCTCGATTTTCTTTTTAATATTAGCAAAATATTTCTTGAAAGTTCTGAAACAAGTTTCTTTTCATACCACTTGTTGGAATAGCATGTCCGGTAGTGAGAACGAAGCACATCGATCGATATCATAATCCATATTACCCATACACTCAAGATCAAGTACCTCCTCATTTTCTTTGAGTGTATCATCGTCGGACCAGAAAGAATCTATTCTAACTCGGGGGCTCAAAGCCTCTTGAAATGTCATTTTGAATCAGGTATATCAGATCGGTCTGATCATTCACAGGAATAAAGAGGCAAGATGCGAGAAGTGGATGAGCTATTAGCCTTTTGTGTGGTTCTATTCGCTGCCGTACTTGCTACCACTTTCGAAGACTTGACTGACGAAAAAGGGTGAAGATGGATTAAAGATTGGAGAGATGGATGAAGTACAGTAAAAGCAGCAGAAATAAATTAAATGAAGGGACAAAAAACTAGCGATGCTATGGAATAGGTGGTATGATGGAGTATCGATGGTTGTTATTGTGTAAAAATAAAAGACAACGAGGGAGGGTAGAAACCACGGATCAATAGTTCATCTCAGAAGGAGGTTTTGTCAAATTGTACCAATCGTTCTTTCTGCATTCGACAAATCTATTCTCTCATAACAAACTGGACCTTCTATTCGAAGGTATCACCTATGATTCTACCATTTCAGAATTAAAAAGATCAAGAACGTCTAACGGCAACATGTGTGATGGATGCATCCGATAAAAGCCAAACATCTGAATCTTCGCTAATTTTCTGTACCACACGCTATGCGGATAGCCTTAATTCAGATCAAATCTCAGGTTTCAGTACTCTCGAAATGGTTCGTTTACCTAAAGCATGTGTTATCATTCTCGAAGCAACAATGACCGATTTCTCGGGTCGCATGGTCAAGGAATGGTTGGTTCTAGGACAGATTGAGGTGTTAAGTCGTGCTTTTGAGCTTTGTGTGTTGAAAGTAGGGCAGTAATTTGGAGTAAAGTTGTTCGAACTCGAATTTGTGCTACCTTGGTATGACCTTAAGACTTCGGCAGGATGTAATTTCACCACTGGTGGTGATTTAGGCGACGCACCACATGAATGAAGCTTACTGAGTGGTCTTTTTGGGGTCGGGCTTGACGATGTGGTCTTTGACTCCTGGTTGCTCCGCGTTCTCAAGTATAGGTCTCTGCCCTTTCTCTCGGCATCCCTACTTTTTCTTTCGGCTCTGATAGGCAAATTACTAGACGTGACTGGTGTAATCTGCCTTAGCCATTTTGAAGGCTTAAAGACTCCTCCTACTGTGTATAGAACCTCGCCGACTTTCCCGTCCCGTGAATATTTCAAAGGTGTCTGGTTTGCCTCTCTGCACAAACTAACTGTTACTTCTCCAGCACTCCGATATTTTCCATGCGATCCTACAGAATACTTTGCGCCACTTTTATTGCCCAACATTGCCCCCTCCTCGAGGACGGCGATCTCATCCATGAAATATTTCGTGGTAATGGCCTCTTCCTCCTCAACAGCTTCTACAACCAGTTTTCTTAAGCTTTCTCCAATAACCAGACGTAGTGCATTCTCTTTGACTGTAGGTTCTAGCTCAAGTGGTATCGTAGCAGTGATCTTATCTTCAGAATTTTTACTATCCTTCTCAATAGTCTTCCCCCAATCAATCTGCGCCTCAACCTTCTTCTCGACTGATGTTGACGCATTAAATCCAACTATAATCCAATCGATGCGACCCCCAGGACGTATATTCTTTTGCCAGATGACTTTGTTTCGTATCATAGTCTCGGTTTTCTGTCGAGGAATCGGCATGTTAGAACTGTGCTGGTCTTCCTTCTTATCTTGAGCTGCGACGTCCTTTCTGCTGGCTGCGGCACATTAGCAAGCACCTTGAAAATGCAGAACATTCTTACATTTAGGCATATCTTTGTTAACTATTATGCATGCGCCCTTGGTGGCTGGTGGTTGAAATGTTGCTTTCGGGTTCAGAATATCCATTTGAGTGTCGAATGGCATGAATATCATGAGAAAGATATCAAAACACGGAATGGTGTAAGAAGAATGAGAACTAAAATATGCAAGAATTCAAGATTTCATCTGAAAATATGGATGAGATTTTCATTGGGAACTCTCTTGTGGGTTCCTATCAGATGAAGTGAAGAAAGGTGAATTTGAGTCGCATCTTTGGAGTTGGGAGAAAATGTCTGTGACTCAAAGGGAAATGGAAGGTACTCCAACAAATATTGCTCCTTCTCATTTGAGCCTCAATATCCTCCTAGATACAGCAAAGAACTTCATGTCAAGTAAGATGGATTCTAGTGTGGTATGACTTCTATTTGTGAAGTCGAAAATGGTGAAAGATGCTGAAATGGAAATTAAATATTGTAGATGGATGAAACAACATGCAAGTTTCATAATAACAAGAATTAGCGATAATATTTACTGAAATCCAAAACACAAATTGGTACGATGCAAATTATCCGACAAGATCAAGACCACAAAAAGAGGAGTGGAATACTGGTGATATCATGTGACACCATGTGACGTCATGTGATGTGACAGAAGCATAAAACCAATCCAAAGAGATGTTGGAAACATTGTCAGAAAGAATGTAAATTCCTTAATCCTGTGCATGGGATAATGTCTTACTAGACTAGGATGAAACACAAGCACACAAGACAACTCGAACAACTCAGATGGAAGGTCATAAAAGGTCCTGACCGGTTCTTGATCACTGGCCTCCATGTTTATCATACACATTTTCCAAACTATTTCCACTGGACCTCTTCTTTCTCTATAACCATCCCTCCGTGCTGGGCATGCTATTGTTGCTCCACCTTGGGTTTATATAAATCGTTCTGACACCGCTTCTTGGAATACAGGGTTATGTTAACAAAGGGAAGATCTCAAAGGTTATAGACAGTATCACTGGGAACTGGCGCGTAATGCAAATCTTTTGAGTGCAAGTAGATAGTCGATGAGCTCATCCTTCGCCGCGAAAAAGTTGTTGGCGGATAATGGCAAGGGTAAATGGGCGCTTATTAGGCATTTTTTGTTGCCCTCGACGCTTCGATGAGTTGCGTTGGAAGCTTTAGGATAAACAAATTTAAGTCTTCAGCACCGATCTTTTGAAATTGAAATGTCGTCAGGTTCTATTATCATGCGCTAGCATATCTAGAAGGTGATTTATAAAACTGCAAGACCACATTAAATGTGTTCGTTTCGATTAGGGGAAGTCTGTCTATGTGAGGGGTCATACTACTTTCAAGTGGAAGCTGAGGTGGCTAAGTTCACTTCCTTTACCCTGAGCCAAGAAATGGATATTTTCATTGGGTTGTCTCGCATTCATCATACTGCTAGGATGTGCCTCTTTCGGATTAGTTACTGGTACAACCCGTTCCGTTTGATCCAGTCAACCAACGGTGATCAACGCGAAGGTGATTTTGAGGACAAGAGAAAGCGAGATACTTGACGAAGCAGTCGCCTGGAGGGTCTGGTGGGGCTACAATTGTTCATCTAAAAGTGTGCTGCATACCATTCAACATTGCCATGATTCTCAAGCTAGGGCTTTGATAGGAGAGATGCACGCTTGATATTTTTTGTACATGTACCTGGTCTCTGTGACTTTTGTCTTCCCCCAAAACACTTGTTCGGATAACTTGTTGTAGATGCCTCATAGTACTTACCATTATACATCTAGAATCAGACAAGGAAAAAATCGCTGGGACTTCCATATAAGAAAATGCTTTTTAATATAATTGACTTAGGCATCAAGATGGCATTTCAGCTCTAGGTGTGGCATTACTGGTACAACAACTGAATGACCTAACAGCAGTAACTTTCCTCACAGGCTACCGATCATCGTCAAAAACCTCATTGCTAATGTGAGCTACTCTACAATTATCTTTTGGCTCGATATTTAGGAGACTTTCTTACTGCTCGGTCATAACCGAGATAGAAAATCTAAGTTTCTGACGAGAAGAGCATTGCTCAACCACAGATCTCCTTTGTCACTTAACCACACACAAAACTGGCAGGTAGATATTCCTACTTTCGGACTCCTACACTCCGCGGTACTTAACTCGAGATTTATCATCTTGTCTGCCATTCTTCGCTCATTTCTAGAACGCTCTTGGTCACTCCGGACCTGGATAAACAATTTGCACGCAGAGATCATCTTTGATATGCATGATAGATAATCATTCCGATCGTTTCCAGAATGAGAAAACTCGAAAATATGATCATAGCATGCTAATATCAAAGGATTTACAATGCCCATGGTTAACGTGACTAGCCCCACATTGACAGTTCCATCTGATACCTGGACGGTTATCTGTCACATCCCCTACTGAACTGTCAACGGGTATCTCCCAGTGCACAGGTATTGATCGCCACCCCAATATCTTCAACCACTTGCCACTGATAGGCATAGCAACTTCACTATTCTGTTGATTTCTCATTTTCTTCCACGCAGATTGCAAGAGTCCCTGCTCATCTTCCGGCTCGTCTTTCAACGACAACTTTCCAGATGAAGAATCACACAAAATCACCCGAGGACTACCCAGCGAAGATGTTCCGAGACAACCGCAGATTAATGAACATTTGACAAACCAGCTAGACATCAACAATCAGCCGGCGTAACTGCCACAAATCAACTTCCCCCGTGTCCCTGACGAACATCACCACATCGTGTGACTGAGGAAATATGCACTCCATCCTCTAATGCATCTTCTTCACGGCGATGTAAGATACCAAGGTACATACAATCCATCCTACCTGCATATCCCCACACAAGGATTCGGAGATATCCCCTAAAGTTACGATGCCAAGCCCCGAGGCCCGAGTCACTCCATCACCGCGAATTCTCCATGAAGTGGGTACGTCTAATCCGTCCGGTAACCCTCACGTGTCCCCTCACGCCACGGGCTTTGCCATGGGGCTACATCCAAAGAAATCTCCCAAGGAAAAACTAGTAAGGAAAAATTAGACAGAAGATAAGAAACGATGCAAGTCGTCCGGATAAACTTTTCAGGCTGTTCAAGTGAACCTTAACCTTAAACTTTCGTCTCCCACAACCCCAATCATCCACTCTATGCTATCTCCGTCATGTACCCGCTCATGGCATGAAGAATACCTAGATAGGTCATACCCCGGCCGGCAATCACCAAGATAGGACGACCGACTAGGATGGCGCTGGGATGTACGTACATGCAAGCTTGATACAGAACACCATTACCACGTTTGCCAAGCTTGAGCTTGCAGACGAGAATTCCGAGTAAGTAAATGGTTGGTATTACAAAATATGCACCCCAGAAATGTCTCATTAAAAAGCTGTCTTCGTGTAAGTTGCCGACGTATAACTTTGTTGCAGGGAGTACATTACAACTTGGGTGGCAGATAATGTATGTGTTTCGGGGAAATGTGGGGTGCATGAACAACACGTCGTTAGTTTTTTGCTGGAACTGTATGTGGTACAATCTATTTCGTCATTCTTTCCTTTTCATATTCGTCTGTTCTACATAAATAGTCAAGGGATTTATTGCGTGGTTGGTTGTCACGATTAGATGTCTTCATTTCCCACTTGTAGGCGCTACATACGTACTTCCCGAAAATAACCTCATTGAAGCTCCATATTTCCGCTTCGTCGTCGATTGCTTGCCTGTCTACTTATTTCATCACGATTTTCATTCGTATCATTATACGAACCTGTCATAGTTCATCCGTTCAATCGATCGGTTGACCTAAAATACGACAAATTACAGGTGGCCCCATTCCACCAATGCTAGTTGCATATTTGACATTCTCCGCGCCCCATTTTTGCGGGACTTTTCGGTTTTTGCGAGTCATTATGCGCCAAAAGAAGTAATTTATGATCGTATCATAAGATCTGTTTTCGCCCAGTAAGAACTTTTACCAAAGTTTGGAAATTAGCACTACGTGATAGGGATCATAGTCGTGACAACGCGTTACTCAGTAGTATATGCCTCGTGATTCTTGTCATGACTTTGGTGTATTATGATAATATCTAGTATGCTAGGTGAAGAAAACATAGCTTCACGCGTAGTAAACTATCCTAACTCGTTCGGTTTATTTCGTTTTTCGCTCGTGCTGCTGCCAAAAAATATAAACATCGGACGCTAGAGTAATCAGGGTACTCCTCTTGAGGTTTACCATCCTCTGGTACGTGCATAGAGTTTTTGGAGTTGCATAATTTCTGGCCGCATGAGTAAGGAGTTTGCTGTTTACCAAAATAGCTTCCAAGCAAAAAGTTTTCGGGACAGAGAACTTTGATTTCTCTAAAGAAACTCTTGACATTCTCGACCGTACTTCTTTTTCCAATTTCGTATGGATCTATGGGCCCTGAATTTGTATTGCTTTTTTAGCTGGCAATAAATTTGCTGTTAGCTTTTTGGCTCTGAATCTCGTTTCTTGCAGCTTGATAAATTCGAGCCATGCCAAGTATTGCCTTTCTTCTGCAGTCCATCTCCCACTTCAGTTACCGGCCGCCGATTGTGAAGATTTGAAAATATTCCCATGACACCCTACTTGTAGAAAGGGTAAATAAAGTTGAGCAAATTTAAGTGCTTCTCGAGGCGTCTCGTATGGCCTAGATGGGCTCAATGGGAAATTTGACATCCTTCTTTTCTCATTCCATTACTATTATTTACAGGGAATACCCCAGTCTTATGAGCCCTATATGATTCTCGTTATCACTGCCGAAACCTGGGGATCTGCTAAAGATCAATTTAGGCCAAATTGTTGTTCTTACATGCCATATGCCGATTCGCCAACAATGTTTTCGTGTTTCGAATATCAAGCCACAATATATGAAGCGCCACCTTTAGCCTTCGCAGAAGCCGCAGTGATGCTTGGCCAAATAACCTAATTTAGTTGAGTGTAAGGACTTTATGGTACTGAGAGAACGAACTTATGTGTATTGATTGTACCCATTTGCCTAGATCTTCCAAGTTTATGTTTTGCCCCCCCTCCTTCGACTTCCGCTAGTCCAATGGGTTGTTGCCCTGTGGTGCAGGTCGGCATCACTAACACTCCTTGCATCTCGTTATATGTTCTGTCCTTGGCAGTGATTGTTAGAATGATGAGGATCGTGCGGTACGCCACCCCCTCCTTCTGTCAAGACGTTCGCATAACACTCGGCTGCGAATTCTAGTTCGGCAGCTCACTAGGGATGGTTCGCATTAGTTTGGAGTTGCCCGAAGCTAAGAGACACTAATATCATAGCGGGTGAAAACGATACAAGGTCTTTCTGTGGGTGCGAGCCGAAGTGTGAACTGGCAAGAGAGTCCGATGTATGCCTAGAGCATATTGACGCGCTAGAACCAGTTCAATGCTGATAGTCAAGCATATTGCTAACAGCTTTGCCGTTATTGTGCATTTCTAGTATAGCTTGAACCAGCTCGTGCGGTATTTTGATATTGTTCTGTTTGTGAAAGCCTTGCAGACACGACTGCCTACTATAGCTAGGGTGGATATTGGAAATACATGTACTGCAATGATAAAGTGGAAATGAAGAAATGAATCATTCTGCATGTGCGTACCTCACTTCGACTAGACTCGCTTCATGTTGTACCACTATTGTGACTAATTTGATGCCAAAACTCCATCACTTGGTTTTCAAAGCCAAAACCTAGAAGAGCTAAATTTTCTCCGTCGATAGTGTACACAAACCTCAACTTAGCCTGCAGATGACTCGTTTATGCACGTGATTTATCTTAAATTTGAAGTGAATTCATGTTGAAGATCTGATGAAGATCAAAGACGAGCTTAATTCATCATTTTCGTCTGAAGGTTGAACGTCTCAAGTCGTAGGGCCGTTATCCAGACAACCAATATTGAGGTGCCCTCTATTCTCCGTAGTGGCCTGCAAATAATTTTTGGATCGATCTCAAAATTCGTGATTAGATGAAATCTTAGGGGCGGCTAACCATGGCATCATGCTGACTATGTTTCCGCATTGAGTCCGTAAGGCATACAAGAGCTTGGTCATATGGCAGCCCAATATCATAAGATCCTGCATATTTCAGGAAGTGCAATCTCCGCCATGTTAATATTTTGGAATATCCCAAGTGGCGTGGTGGCCACGATAAATCAATCTACCAAGGTCGAGCACACCTCTTCATCTTAGGACTGTGATTGTGTAGATAGCCTTCTAGTTTGGCGCTCTGAGTTGATCGTGTCTGTCGATATCAAGTTTAACTCCGTTCTTGAGTGAGTGGGCTGGTATGCATGTCTGTACCTAGTACCGAACCTTTCCGAGAGTGTCCCAAGTATATTCAATAACCGACATCCAATGCTACATCAGGAAAGCCGACCACATGTTCTTCGACGAACCCATAGTTTATTTTGTGGTAAGCGCCACCAGGTTTATTGGGGACCTGTCAAGGGTGTATTGCATATTTCGGCACTATGCAAGCGGGGGTACTTTCTTCAACAATGGGTGGGTCTCCATGTGAGATTTTTCCGGTACTAAAATACTTCGTGAATGATACAAATCCCTGAGACCTATGTTAGTGCAATCCTATTATTATTGGGTCTCCTGAAAGCTCGTGCAACGAGTGTACTTTCGTTAATACTTTGCGCATTTTGGCAATATACATACCGGATGATATTAATCAAAATGATATGACGATCTCCATAAGACATCTAAGGAATTTGGGCTTTATTTGATACATTTAGGACAGTTGAAGGGTCGACAATCATACCGAGGTAACTGAGGATTTACATTTTCTTAGTAACATGAAAAAGAAAGACACCAAGTGGAGACTTAATGCATTGAGATTAAGATCACTAAAGATAGAGTTCCGCGTATATCTTGCCGGTTCTTGAAATCTGGTATTGCCAGCTTGAGATCTCCATAATGCCACATGTATGCTCCCATATCTCACTTCAGGATATAGCTCGATAGAGTTCATTAGTCAAAATTTTCCCTGTGCGAACTATGGTTATCCCGGCGATGAAGATGTTCCTAAAGTACAACTTCTGTAGAAAGTAGCGGCAATTTGACCCCGCTTCACGTCATAAATTTCCCCAGACTTCGGAGATGATCTTGATTATAGGCAGAATGCAAAGAAGGGATGATTGGTTGTACCATTTGTATTTTCATCTCCCTCTGTCTGTGTTTTTGAGTGTGTGTATGTGTCAATTTATATTGGCTGCTGCATAAATGAAATTGTTTTGTTGCTATCTCAAGCTCTCAATGGGTTGAAATCTATTTTTGCTTACATAAGGCTCCGAGTGAACCTTGACAAATTGTGAGTCAGGTACAAATCAAGAAGCCCCCCTGTCAATCTCGCTTATGCACATCGTCTTGCAAACCCAATCAAGACCTTCAATTTTCTCCTGCTTTTGGTTCACGGAGCTTAAATCTCCGTAACACGTTACCCACAAAAATTACCATTATTTTCTTGACTACAACACCAAACGAACGAACTATCATGCACAGCACAATCAACATTTGGAACTAAAAGCCACCATCGAATATAGAACCGAACTTTGGGCATTCTATAACCCCTTTCATTCTCCCCTTACAGCAATCAGATGCTGTACAACCGTGGTCATTCCCCATATTTCTTCATGCAACACAGAATCACTCTGCAATGTGATCTCTATTACAAGGAATCTTACCACTTCAATATCTTGCCAGGTCAATTTACTCCTATGCAGTAGTCAGCATTAAGTTGTTCATCGAAACGTCTTGGGTAGATTCCTTCTCCCTTCGGCCGGTTGCTTTCAACCGAACCCCAGATTTTTAAATTTTGAACCTGCATAAAGATTCACAAGGGTTTCTCCATGGCAAGCTGTCATGATCGCAGACAACCCTAAACACATCGTCTGATATGCCCATCCATGCTGTGCATCCCCCTCTTTCGGACATTACAGGACGCCGTTCACACTCATGTAGTATTTCATAAGCGTGTTCACGGCGCATGTAATCTTTGTAAGGATGATATTATAAGCCCAAGTCAACAAAAGCCTCAACATCCGCTCTTAAACAGCCGAGTTGAGGTTGCACACAGAAACATTTTTGGGAATCTCTAATATTATATTATTATATGAATAAATACTACCTTCAGGAATCTTTTTTCATTTCCACTTAACGTATCCCAAGCCACAAAATATTTCATGAACTAACAGCTTACATGCCTTACGTCGGCGCAATGTCCGTCTCATCTCAGGATTCTCCCAACTCTACCACCGGAAGTGGTAGACATTTCTCAATGTCTCGAGACAAATTCGATATCAATATTCCCTCACCCCAAATTTCTATTGTATCAAACGGTGATTTAACATCTCCAACGACATTAAAGTCACCGAGTACTCGTCGCGTCGCCACTTTTTCCCGGGAAGGTATTTTGGGATCCGCTCAGAAAGCCAGGAATTTATCACAATCTTCCGCAGACAGAGACTCAATCATAAATGGGTTACAAAGCAGACAAAATCGAAATCAAAACCATAATCAGAATGGGCATAGCGATGACGGGATCAACCCATTGAAGAGAAGAAGTACTGATGCTGGAATTGACTACCCCAGACGGAGAGCCACCATAGCCGTAAGTACTTCGGTCTTTGGGGTTAATGACAATAATACCGACAAAATAGCAGTGCGAGATTTGTCGATCTCGAAAATCACGATGTGACGGAATTAAGCCCAAATGCAAACTTTGCACAGAATTAGGTGCCGAATGTATTTATCGTGAACCAGGTATCAAACTTGATGCTGGGGATAAACTCATATTAGAGCATCTTACTCGAATCGAAGGATTACTCCAATCGACATTAATCGGGCAAACATCCAATCTTGCTCTTTCCACTGGCTCGCCGTCTATCAATGGAGGAACCACGAGTAGTGGTGATGATTTGATGATGGCAGCCAACGGAGGCTTTGTCTCTTTACTTCCTGCCACAGGTCTTGGCACTTGGACCAATCTCACCAATATTTCCACGATGCCAAAAATTCACACAAACGCTGCATTACACTTACTTCAATGGCCGTTGATCCGCGATTTAGTATCACGACCATACGATCCCCAAATTCTTCTTCAGCTCGAAATGGCTAGAGAACCACTTGTTCTGTCAAAAACGCCTTGTTTAGATCTCTCCAATACCTCCGCATATATCGAAGCATTTTTCGCAAAGGTAAATGTATGGTATGCATGTGTTAACCCATACAACTGGAACAATCACTACCGAGTTGCTTTATCAAATGGATTCCGCGATGGTCCAGAAAGCTGCATTGTTCTTTTAGTGCTGGCGTTGGGTCAAGCTAGTTGCAGTGGAAGCATATCTAGAGCGGCTAGTTCTGAAGATCCTCCTGGACTTCCATATTTTGCAGCCGCTTGGGCACTTCTCCCAAGTCTGATGACGAGGAGCTCGGTTTTATCTGCTCAGTGTACAATTCTTGCTTCTGCGTATTTGTTTTACCTAGTGAGACCATTGGAGGCGTGGACACTATTAAGTAGTACGAGCACGAAACTTCAACTTCTTTTGAGTGCGCCTGGAAGGATACCACCGAATCAAAGAGAGCTATGCGAGCGAGTGTATTGGAATTCATTGTTGTTCGAGAGCGATCTTTTGGCTGAATTAGATTTACCGCACTCCGGTATCGTCCATTATGAAGAAGTGGTTGGACTACCTGGAGGCTTTGAGCAGGAAGATGAGGATGGAGTGGGTCGAGATGAGCTCTGGTACTTTTTGGCCGAAATTGCACTTCGCCGACTTCTGAACCGCGTCAGTCAACTAATCTACTCGAAAGATTCGATGTCATCGACATCTAGTTTAGAGCCTGTCGTGGCGGAACTGGATTTCCAATTGTCACAGTGGTACGAAAGTCTGCCTATCCCTTTACAATTCCCATATACCCGAACACCTCTAGCAGATCCTGTCCAGACCGTATTGAGACTGCGGTATTTTGCTTGTCGGACGATCATCTTCAGACCATATATTCTTGCTGTGTTGGATAACGAACAAGCAGCTATGGATCCATCAGTTCGAGAAAACTGTCGCAAATGCCTTGAAGCTTCAATTCGACAACTAGAGCATATCAGCGCACAGTAAGTCCACACTTTCCGCTCCCCCAAGACAATAACCTGACTAACTCACTTCCAGTCATGCAGGTCACATGCCCTATCTCTGGCAAGGAGCTCTCAGCATCGTTTCTCAAACCCTTCTCGTAATGGGCGCCACTATGTCTCCCTCACTATCCGCCATAATCAACTCCCTCGTCATCCACGACACAATCGATGACATCATAAACGATGTAGTCATGGAAATCGAAAGATACGCCCATCTAGCCCCCAGTTTAAGTCTCTCTGCCGAAATAATCAGGGAAGCCGAAATACGAAGACGCAGCTACCTTGGCGGCTGAATGTTGATCCTACAGAATCTCACAAACTGGCAGAAATGGATCCGCAAAAAGCGACAAGAATTTGCACATGATTAGAAGTCTGAAAGGACTGTAAGTGGCAAGAGCCAAAAGGGCCGAATGTCCAGATTTTTGAAAAGAGAGGTACTCTTTTCGACCAGTCAAGCTTGGGTATAAGCCACGATATTCATGAAATTGGGGCTTGGCCGCAGTCTAAGAAGCTTTCTGGTGGTGCGTACGGGTTCTTTAAAGGTACTTGGAGGTTGTACCTTAGCTACTAGGCTTTACGGGCCTTGGTGCCGAAGAAGCCACTTTGCGTGCTTCTGAATCACCCCGCATTTCCCGGGGTCATGGTACCATGGGACATCTTGTGGATACTTGAACATAGATACACCGTCACATGTTGTATATAAGTGTCAATGGTTGCTGTGCTGTGCTCATTGCTGTTTCACTTTGGTTTTTGACTCTTGTACTCCATATATTTTCTATGCATCCTTGGAGTTGTGTGATGGTTTTTGTTCAAAAGTTAATTAGCTAGCATGGTATATATATATGGGAGGCTTAAAGAGAGGAAGACACAAGTCATGGTTGGTATGTAAAAGGTGCATCTTCATTAGTCCACTTTTCTAGCTTTCATAGAATTTCTGAGATTTAGCATGTAGTAATGTGGATCTCATGTCTAATGAAATATATATCCTTGTTTTTGTTTTGTAATGTACATGATTTCTTGGGGCAGGTGATTGGATCCTTCCTTATTAGACTTTCATTAGGTTTGGAGAAACTTTCTTAGTGCTTGAGCTTAGATTGAGATGCTACAGTGGATGGAAGAGGTCGTAAAAGAGTTGCCAGTCCCCCATCTGATTTATTGCTATGGTAGCCTAACAGTTGCTACATACCGCAACCCCCTTCATTAATATGAAGAGGCTGTTTAATATAACAGAAAATAAAGGATCTGAAGCTCAATACATTAACCATCATCTTCTTATCTTGTCATGTGGCATGATATCGTTCTTCCATAAACTTGATTTCTCTTTGCTAATATGTATATTTGAGAGCTTTGAGTTTGTTCTCACATTCATTGATATAACTAAAATACCTTCCCATATTGATCTACACAAAAGAGACAATGCAGAATATTGATAGGATAGAGTTTAAACTCAGTGATGCTGTACAAGAATGAGATGTTAAAATTCACATGAAAATAACTACTCCCACGTTTTCACTCTAGCTCTGCTAAGAAACATTCAGTATGCTTTCAGTTAGATCCCAAATTTAAAACTACAAAGAAAATTTTATTACAGGCTGGCCAAATTACGCCTTTTTCTCGAATATCTTACTAATATTCTTGTATTAATCGTCTGCATATTTCTTGCGGCATTCCCCTATGCAAAAAAGAAGAAAAAAAGAAAAGTGACACCCTACTGAAGTCGAAAGTAAAACAAAACGAAATTCCGCAAGTACGATATGATGTGCGAAGTCAAGCAATAACGGCAATGCAACCAAATCAACATACACCATAGAGAAGTATATAATACCACAGTAAAACACGCTGTAGATAGATAGGATCGGCTCTTAACTGGGTCTTCACACTTGAAGAATTGAACGTGGCCCACGAATGTGTCGTTGGTATGTAAGAAGTAAAATTCCAATTCCAACAGCAGATTAGCCACGCCTACATTCCTTTTCACCCATCTAAGATGAACTCATCTTTAATTCTATCAAGTTAAAAAGGTTCTCATGGACAAACAACCTCATTACTTGGTTTAGGCTCTCATAGAAAGACTCTGCTAACATTTTTCCAGCATTATTGCCTCCACCGGGGAAGTATGCATCGACTCTGAAACAACGTACCGGGCGGCTCTTTCATTGGGGGGCATCTAATAACACTCAAAACACAAAAATCGCCAAAAATCACTGAAATTTATAAAAAGAAACAGAGAGGAGGCACCATGCCGGCTACATATACTAACACGTAATATACGCTACCTCGGACCGGCAATTTCCACCCAATCCAGAGCAAAACCACCAATTGCATTCATGGTCTCATAAGATCCCGAAAACGATGCGATTATGGAGCCAAAAGTTAGTAGCCTCTCTATCCACGACATGATATCGATATAGTAGAACTGTAAGTCCATGAAAAGAACTATTCTCTTACTATTCTTTTACTATGTGAAGGGTGGTCAGATGTGATAGCGAATGCGCATGGTTGCAAGATTTCCAGGATAAAGATTGGAGAACGCAGCTCAATAATGAATTCTTTTTGTCAGGTTTACCCACTCGGGAGGATTCATGATTCCTCGAGCATTGACAAGGGGTTTTGTCTACACAAAGACCACATGCAATGCCTTGGTTAGGCTCTTCCATGTATTAAGTAGACTCGAATTTTACGGTTTCAAAGCTGTTGCAGTTGAATGGATAGATTGATATGGGCATGGCATGGCATGGCATGATTTAGACAATAAATCGTATCTTTCATTCATAAGGAGGCGTATCCCAATCCTGGGTAAAGAGTTCGCCTAAGTCACCAAATACCATGAACCCGTACTCCGCGGGTACTTCCAACATCATGAAACAAAATGAAACTGGCCCTTGTTGTTTGATCTCACTTTCTCGCAGGGAGTAATAGAAGCATAACGAATTGGTTGAAGTAAGTCAAGTTTGTCAACCCTCATCTCGCCATAAACTTTCATAAAAGCACTCTGTCCCTACGACTAATTCGATATCAATGCAAATACATGGCGTAACTGGTCTATGAGAGCTCTGCTTGACTAGGCCTTTCATTCTCCGGGCTAACTCCGTCAAATTACCAATTAGTTGAGGTATAAGAGTTAGGAAAGTCAATCATGAGGCCCCTATCGATGGAATGTTGAAACGAGAAGTCGTAAGGAGATAAGGAGCTTGTCGATTTTACTTCAAATTGAGATGATTTACAGTGTTCCAAAACTTCTATCACAATCCTGAGGTCGTACCCCCGATCTACGTTGGCCTATTTTCATCTAAAAATGGCATCATATATTACAGTACTAGTCTATTCTGTTCACTTCAACCTCACAGGCGGCGAGTTATTATATATTTCCAATTAAGACTGAAGTTGGCAACAATAAAAATAGTTCTCATGGCCTGTCGATCTGACCGTTTGGCTCGGTTTCTAAGAAGAAGTACTCGCTAAACGTCTCACAAACAATTAGATCCATAGATCTTGGTTTATACGCCACATGAAAAGAAAAGTTCGGGATTCGACGTTGACCAACTAGCTTTGGATCGCCGTCCATCCTATGAAACCAATAGGCCTAGAAAACAACACAAGAAGGCTACATGTGGCATAATGTCGATACAGGAGACCAGATGGCCAAAACGAACAATGCAAAGGATCCACATGGTCCGAAAGGACCATCCAACAGTGGGTGCAGAAATTCCGTAAGCACTTTTTCAATCCTCACCAAAATCAAGGAAATATCAACAATTTCAGAAAATGATTATAAATTCAATTTATAACATTATACAATCAATTCTTAAGCAAAGTATATAAATCCATCTGAATTATTATATAAAACATCAATAAATAATTTTTGAAATATACGAATCTCAAAATTATAAATTAACTATTGTCAAATATATTATATTAAATATTTAATAACTTTCAAAAATTTAACAATTGGAAATTTTTAATAAATGAAAAGATAAATTCATTTTCAGTTTATATAATTTCAAAATTTCATTAAATAGCATATTATAATCATCGAATTATATTAATTTGAAAATGTTGAGTTTTGATATTTCACTGAATTATGCTTACAGAATTTCTGCACCCACTATTGATCCATAACCGCGAGTCAAACGAAGCCGGTTCAAAAAAGCGAAAAGCAATCATACCAGAAGAATATTACAATCTAAGGTTCATCTCAGATGTGACGACATCTAAGAAGAATCTGAACAAAAAAAAGGTAAGCTTACATTCCCTTGACGTGATATTAACGGCAGGTTGGCGGGGCATGAGAACTACTATTTTTTTTCTCATTCTTTTGGCTGATGATTCTCCCACATACCAGGAAACCTTCTACATGCTCTTGAGGGCATTACCATGATGTGTGGGTCGAACTCCATTTTGGTACCTTCCGCTTGGCTTTCACTTTTCCTAAGGTACTCCTTAGATCGTATTTGTGAGCCATGTATGATGAATTTTATAGATTTGTATTAATAAAAAAATATTTAAATATCCTATGTAGCCTAAACTTGAGATTAAGTTTTTCCTAGTCTTTTTCGTCATTTTCTAACTTGCTTCGATCGAATTAGCCCCCCTTTAGCTCCTTCATTATGATCTACTCTTGCTACTCCATCACCTATCCTTATTAAGTAGCTCATCATCACTTCATTCTATACCAAAAGAATTTAAGGTAGAAAAGCCTTCGATGTTATATAATCCAAAAGTAGACAGTATAAGTCTAGTACCCTACTTTTCGGCCACCCCTAATCTCGGCCACTCTTTTATACCAAAAATCGCCATTTTCAGTTTTTCATATTTCAATAATAAATGAATGAAATCAATTGAAACTGCCAGATTTTTTTCAGATCTTATTAATTGAGAAATTGAAAGTTGAAATTACGATTTTCAATTTATATACAAATATGAAAATCCTGAAACCCTTGAATAACTCTTCAACAAAAATTACTAAAAATAAATTATAAATCTTTTTGAAATCTTCAAATTAAATACTATATAACAGATTAGAATTTTGAATTTTAAATTATATAAAAAAACTTTTATTTATATTTTAGATTTTACAAATAATAAAAATCATAAGATTTTGATTAAAAAGATCTCCATTATTATTATTCTTTAATATAAATTGACTCATTCGATCAATTATGATGGTCTAATTCTAGTCACCATATACGGTTCAGAAAGTACCTTCGGATTTTTTGTGCGGAATTCTGTTGAGTCTCGACTCTGGATCTAAACTACTCCACTTCTTCATTTTTGGTAAGATTGATTGAGTGCC